TTAATCCCCTTTATTTCACCCCCCCCACCTCCCCTCTGGCAACCACCAGTTTGTTCTCCGCATTTAAGAGTCTGTTTTTTTGGGGCGCCTGGGTGGCTCAGTCATTAAGTGTCTGCCTTTGGCTCAGGTCATGATCCCAGCATCCTGGGATCAAGCCCCACATCGGGCTCTCTGCTCTACAGGAAGCCTGCTTCTCCCTCTCCCACTCCCCCTTCTTGTGTTCCTACTCTCACTATCTCTCTCTGTCAAATAAATAAATAAAAACTTTAAAAAAAAAAAAAAAAGTGATTTTTTGCTGGTCTCCCTTGTTTGTTTTTTTAAATTCCACATGGGTGAAATCATATGGTATTTGTCTTTCTTTGACTTATTTCACTTAGCATTATACCCTCTAGGTCCATCCATGTTGTTGCAAATGGCAAGGCTGCATTCTTTTTGATGGCTGAGTAACATTCCATTGTGTATATACATACCTTTCCCCCCCCCCCCAATTTAGTTAACATATAGTGTACTATTAGTTTCACGGTTAGAATTTAGTGACTCATCAGTTATACATTAACATCTCATTATATCCAGTGCCCTCCTTAATACCCATCACCCAATTACCCCATCCTCCCATGCAATCCCCACCAGCAACTCTGTTTATTCCCTATAGTTAAGAGTCTCTTATGTCTGCTTTCCTCTCTGTTTTTATCTTATTTTTCCTTCCCTTCCCCTATGTTCATCTGTTTTGTTTCTTAAATTCCACATGAGTGAAATCATATGGTATTTGTCTTTTTCTATACCTTTTTCATCCATTCATCTATTGATAGACATTTGGGTTGCTTCCTTATCTTAGCTATTGTATACAATGCTGCCATAAATATAGGGGTACATGTATCATTTTGAATTACTGTTTTTATTTTCTTTAGGTAAATACCCAGTGGTGGAATTACTGGATCAGATGGTAATTCTTTTTTCATTTTTGGGCTTGAACTCACAACCCTGAGATCAAGACGTGAGTTGAGTCAGACACTTAACCAACTAAGCCACCAAGGTACCCCAAATGGTAATTCTATTTTTTTTTTTTAATTTTATTTCTTTGAGAGAGAGAGCGAGAGAGCATGAGAGGGGGGAGGGTCAGAGGGAGAAGCAGACTCCCCGCTGAGCAGGGAGCCGCATGCAGGACTCGATCCTGAGACTTCGGGATCATGACCTGAGCTGAAGGCAGTCACGTAACCAACTGAGCCACCCAGGTGCCTGGTAATTCTATTTTTAATTTTTTGAGGAACCTCTGTACTGTTTTCCACAGTGGCTGCACCAATTTGCATTCCAACCAATAGTGCAGGAACGTTTCTTTTTCTCCACATCCCTGCCAACACTTGTTATTTCTTGTGTTTTTATTTTAGCCATCCTGACAGGCATGAGGTGATATCTCATTATGGCTTTGATTTTAATTTCTCTGATGATCAGTGATGTTAAGCATCTTTTCATGTGTCTGTTGGCCATCCGTATGTCTTCTTTGGAAAAATGTCTATTCAGGTCCTCTGCCCATTTTCTAATTGGATTATTTGGGCTTTTTGGTGTTGAGTTGTATAAGTTTTTTATGTATTTTGGATACTGACCCCTCATTGGATATGTCATTTGCAAATATCATCCTCTACACTGAAAATTTAACAATTATTTTCAAAAAAGAGTTGTCTTCATCGTGGACCTTTCCAAATCATATATCCAACTGCCTACCCGACTTGTCACTTGAATGGCTCAGAAGTACTTCATGTACAATGTCCAAAATTAAGTCATTTCTACCCACCTCAAACTGGTCCTTTTCTAATCATCCCTTTTTTGCCAAATAACACCACTACCTTTCTTGTGGTGCTCAGGTCAGAAATCTTTAGCATCCTCTCCACCCCATCTCCCCCATTCCAAACACACCATGTCCTGAATATTCTCTACCTTCTAATTATTTCTTGACCCTTATATCATTTCTGTCACACCTCCACAACTCTACCCCCAGATCATTATCATCTCCCTTGAATTACTATAATAGCCTCTAACTGATCTCTCTATAATCACTCTTGCCTTTGCCATCCACTTTTCACCCAAAAGACAAGTCTTCCCTCCCTCCCTCCATGCAAATCTGGAGTCCTTGCTGAATCCCTTCAGTGGCTTCCTAAAGCTATTAGGCTTTTAAAGTCCAAAATCATTAACAAGGCATACATAATCTAGACCTGCCTATCCCTCCAACCTCATTTGTTGCCACTATGCTCCAGACACACTTGTCCTTTCATTTTCTCTGCTGTATAATGATCTGTCCCACCATCTGTTATTCTTACTGCCTAAGAGGTTCTCTTCACTCTCCTACCATCCATTCTCCTTTTGAAGGCCCACTAGCCCTTCAAATCACACCCTAAGCATCATTTTCTCAGGTAGGCTTTTTCTGACACCACATATCCAATCAGATGCCCACTCTATATACTTTCAAAGCATTTTATGCTTTCCCTCAAAGCTCTTAGTTTACATTTGTCTGTCCTGTCCTCCACCCCACCTCCCAGGCTGCAACCATGTACATCTTATTCTTCACTGTATCCTCCAGCAACTGGCATACAATAAATACTTAAGTGAATAATTCAGAATTTAGGGTAATTAATAGTCACCTGGAAGTTTTTCAGCATACTAAGCTACCACCTTTTGCCCCTAACATTATCACAGAAACTCACTATATACAAGTTGCAATTTCCTAACATTAACATACACTTTACAGACTATCAAAAAGAAGGGAGCATAGAATTAGGATAAGAACCAGTTCCCATGAAAAAGTTGAAAAGGGGGTGCCTGGCTGGCTCAGTCAGTGGAGCATGCAACTCTTGATCTCAGGGTTGTAAATTCAAGCCCCACGTTGGGTGTAGAGATTACTTTAAAAAATCTTAAAAAAAAGAAAAAGTTTAAAAGGAAAATGTTTTCCTTTCTTGTGGTTCTGGCAAGCAACAACAAAAGAAAGTATTCTAACAGTAATTTCAAAAGACACTGGTATGTTAGAGCTCTGCAACACATTAATATTCTAAAGACTGCATAGATGACATCAGTGTACACACATGACACTTTGAGCATACGTGGAACAAATTAAATTACAGATATGGAAGATTCAATTTATATCCTACATTAATCAAATTTTCTGGTCAGAACAGATAAAGAAAGAGTCAATAAAGCCACTTTTTTGATAACCAACCTCCTAAAGGCAAAGGAATCTTAGCTAAATCTATCCTATTTCTCAGAATTTAACCCAGTATTAACTCTTACCTGGCATTAACACTGTCACTCCCCCTTCTCTCTAGCCTATCT